AAGCCTTGCTTTTTTTTTTTTTTTTTTTTTTTGGTACCAGCGATCAAACTCAGGCCCAAATCCCCAGTACTGTTAAAAAACAAAACAAGGGCCAGGGATTTAGCTCACTGGCACTGTGCCTGCCTCACAAACTCAAGGTTGTGAATTCAATCCCCAGTCCCCCCCAAAAAAAACAGTACAGGGGATTGAACCCAAGGCCTTTGCACTGACAAACACCCCCAGCTCTTTGTTTTGTTTTGTTATTTTGAGATGAATCTTGCTAAGTTGCTAACTCGCCCAGGCTTGGCTTGAATTTGACATCCTCTTGCCTCAACCTCCCAGAGTGCTGGGATTATAGGTGTGTGCTGCCATGCCCAGCAACTAATAAACCTTAAAAGACAGATAACTCTGAGTGATTAGCATCCAAACGTGCAGAGCTGACCAGGGGTCTGTCCATAGCTTTTAAGGTAATAAGGGAAACATGAAATGAAGGCAGAGATAAGTATGGTGGCGAGTGACTGTCATCTCAGCACTTGGGAGGCTGAGGCAGGATCACTGTGAGTTCAGGGCCAGCCTGGACTAGTAAAACCCGGTCTCAAAAAAAAAGAGAGGCAGAGATGCCAGGCTTCATCCTGCTTACATGCATGTATGTACCCATTGGGCATTTACCTGGAGGCCCAGCCTCTAAGTCCTTGTTAACATTACTAACTGGAAACTCCAGAGGCTGCTGAGTCGTCTCTTCCAAATCCCTAAGTTCCTGTGTTGGAGCTCCAGGACCTCAGAACTCAGCTGTATTTGGAGGTGGAGCCTTTAAAGAGGTGAGTTTGTGAAATGGGACCATTACAGCGGGCTGTCATCCAATCACACCACAGCAGGGCCAGGATCTGCGAGGCGTAGTGGCAAAGGCCTGTAACCCCAGCAGTAAGAAGACTGAGATGTGTCTCTAGCTGCAGTGGTGGTGTCCTGACTCTCACCTCTGTCCTGACTCTCCAGGACCTAGCCCTATCTGACCGTCTGTAACATTTCCAACTAACTCAGCTGTCTATAAAAATAGCTGTAGGAGGTGCGCCTTTGGGACACGATTGGGTCTTGAGGGGAGAGCCCTCAAGATGAGATAAGAGTCCAGGTAAGAGAACCGAGAGGCCCTTGGGCCCTTCAGCGCGTCGCATGCAGACAGGAGCTGGCGGCAGACCCCCACCTCCAGGACTGTGAGACGCAAGTTTCTGTTGTGTGGAGCTCACAGAGGCTGCGGCATTTTGCTGTCACAGTCAGGATGCTGAACCCACCATGGCAACCTTCCTCTCCAAGGTGGCCAGCTGTGTCCTTTTGTGGTTAAACCCATTTCACACATTTCAGCCCTCTCCTCCTTGCTCTTTCTGCAGCTCTGACTCTGTGAGCCACCCCATTACCTCTGATCCCTCCTACTCCTTCTCTTGCCCTCCTACCATGCCAGTTATTCCTCCTGAGCTCCTTGGAGGATTTCTCTTCTGTCCATCATGGAAGTGGTGAGTGTTCTTCAGGGTGCTGCCTGCTGTCTTCTTTCAGTGCTCACATCCTCTCTTGGGGCTGTCTCTCCTGTTTTCATGGCTTCTGCTAGCACTTCTGGCTGCTGAGTGCCAAAGCCAAATCACCACCCAGCTCTCTCATGGAATGTAGCACCCCCATACATACACTGCTTACCTGACATCACCACCTAAGTGGAAATCAGAAAGGAAAACAGCTCTGGACTGGGGATGTAGCTAAGTGGTGGTATTGTAGGCAGCTAAGTCAGACAGAAATATTGCCAGCTGTCAAAGTTAAGCCTTGAGAGAGTCAGGACAAGGGCAAAACACATCACAACCACTGTGGCCAGAAATACATCTGCTAGAGACCAGGCCTCAAGATAAACACGGGTCTATATACTTCGTCAAGGGCTAAACACTGGGACTAATAAAGTCTACATAGACATCAGTCACCCCTGTGGGTGACCAGGACCTCTGGACCCACCATTTCCCCGAAGAAGTCTTTGTTCTTTTCATCCACTGTTGTTACGTGACTTGTTTCCCAATTGGACCACCATTACCTAAGCGACTGTATTTGTAACCTTATTGGGTGATCATGGCTTTGTACCAATGTGGGGTTTACTCCATAAAACTCTATAGGAGTTGGGTTTCCAACCACCCACTTGGAACTCCTCCTACCTCTCAGGATATATCCTATCAATAAATATCTTCCTAGGGCGGGGATTTAGCTCAATGGTTCTGCCACCTGCCTCGTCAGCACAAGGTCCTGAGTTCGATCCCCAGTACCAATCAATCAATCAATCAATCAGTGTCTTCCTGCTCTTAACCTCTGTTCCCAGAATTTATGCTTTGATTTTTAGAGACCACAAGCTCAGTTTATGAGATAACCAACAGATTGTGAAATATAATAGTTTCATATTTCATCTCTGGTATCATTTCCTATTTCAGTAGAGGGCTTTCCTGGGCATGTGGGGTCCCTGGCTTCAATGCCCAGCGTTAGAAAAGCAAAAACCAAACCAAAATGAACAAAAAGCAGATTATGGAGTCAAAAATCCCATTCAAAGCCTTTTTTTCATCACTAAACTGTATGGCAGTGGGCATCTTACCTCTCTGCTAATAATGATGGTCCTACTTTACAGGACTTTTGTGATGGGTAAATAGAATAATTTAAGGCATGGCACTTAGTTCAGAGCCTAGCACTGACTCGAAAGTAGTAGTAATTAAAGGCTCAGGGGCTAAAAATGTAGCTCCGTGGTAGAACCATGCTTAGCAGCTCAAGATAGCTCAAGACAGCTTAATTCTAACAGATTCAAAAGTGAATTCATGCTCAAGTCTCAAACGCTCTCTTCATCCTTTGTCCTAAATCTCAGTAAATGGCACCACTATTTAATCAGGCAGAAGGCTAGGTTTTATCTTTGCTTCCTGACACAAACCTATGATCCATTCACTCAGTTCATACAACAACCCTGCAAAGCAGACCCGTTATCATCTCCACTCCACAGACACAGGGTGCAGGCACAGGAAGGTTGAGTAATTCACCCAAGATTCCGTGAGTGGCAAAGCTGGCATAGTCCAGGCGGGCTGGCTTCCACCTCCATGGCCACAACCGCTGAGCTCTCTGCCATGCACTTCCAGGGCAATGCTTCCTGTTTCCCTTGTGCCCCACAGAGACTGTACGCTTCCAAAGTCAAGGACTCTGACTTCACAGAGGCGTTCTCAGTGACTAGAACAGGGCCGAACCAACTGTCTAGGCTGACACAGCCAGACAGTTAGATGATTCCTTAGAGACAGGACAAAGTAGAGGGAAATGAAGTAATAGACACCAAGTTGCACTCGGTTACAGCAAGGATTATAGGATTGGTTTTTTTTTAGGGTGTTGGGGTTTTGATTTTGTTTTTATACTAGGGATTGAACCCAGGGCCTTGTGCATACTAAGCATGACTTTACCATTGAGCTACACCCCTGACCCTGAATTTTGTTGGTTTTTTTTAATCTGAGTGTTAACAAATAGAAGATTGGAGTCAGAGATTGTAGAGGCAGGATTTAAGGAGACATTAATGGTGATGTAGCTCAGTGGCACAGTGCCTGCCTGGCAAGCACAAGGTCCTGAGTTCGAGCCCTGGTACCGAGCAAAGAAGACATTAATGGGCTGAGGGTGTTGCTTAGTGATACAGTGGTAGATTAACATGCATGAAACCCTGCATCCAATTCCCATCTCAGAAAAGAAAAATATATTTCCTGGCATGGTGATGCATGCTTATGCTCTCAGCACAGGAGAGGCTGAGACAGGAGAATCACTGTGAGTTTGAGGCCAGCCTGGGCTACATAGTGAGTTCAAGGCCAGCCTGAACCACATAGCAAGACCCTATCTCAAACAACAATGAAAAGATATCAATACTCACAAATTCAAGTTATTTCAGGGAACATGTTTGTTTGTAAGAATTAAAATTTAAATTGAGGGGACAAATAAAAATGTAAGCTCAAGCAGAGTTCCAATTTGCCACAGGGGGTCATTTTAAGGGTTTAGTCATTTTATATTCATCACCACCTGGTGTGCCATGTGGGAACTACCAGATCATAATACACAGACACTGTTTTTTGTTAAACAGTAGCAAGAAAAATGCTTGCTGTGAAGACCCTGACAGCTCCAAGAGACGGAAATGAAGACTGCATGCCTAAATTCATCCAGTTTTATTTCATCTCCTCTCTGCTCCAGACCTTCCTCCCTGACTCTCCAGGGCTATTTCCTTAATCCTCTCTCCCCATCTGCCGAGTTCCAACCTGTGCCACCTTGGGGGATTCTCTCCAAGGCACCTGGGCCCAGCAAAACAATATTTTCTTTTTCTTCTACTGGGTAGTAAAACAGCACCAACAGGGGCTCTCAACTTCATTAGACAGATTAGGCCAGGACCTGGCAAACTGCTGTATGTAATAATCACCAGATGTCTATCCTGATGCCGGAAATCAGGCCCACGACTCCAAACCCTTTTTGGAATTCTTTCTTTTTTCCTTCCGTGACCTTTATGAAGTGCAATTACGGTTTATAATCAGTAATAAATTAAAGCTTACAAACTGTAAAACAGACAGTATCAATATATATTCCTGAAAGCCAGCATAGAAAAAAATGCCCTCCTAAAATAAATTGCAATAAATAATCTAACAGAATGGTTCCAAGCACTGACCAAACAGAAAGCACAGTGTAATCTATATCTGCAATAATGGGCACATTACAGTCGGATCATGTTCAGCCCATTTCCCAGTCCTGCTGGGCAGGAAAAAGAGCCAACCCAAACTGGAATAAACAACCCACCAATTATCTTTGATGCCTGGTAAACAGCCTGCGCCAGAGGATAAGGCATTTCTGGCTCTCCAATATGCTTTCTTTCTGTTTTCAAGTGTCCGTCCTCCTCCCTGGAAGCTGCGGGGTGGGGAGGTCTAAAAATAGCCAATGAATCACGGTGGCTAATACTGTGCTGTGGTTACATAAACACCCCTCCCCCATCCCCGGGCGGCGGCGCCATGGGTCGGAACGGAAGAAATCTGGGTCAGGGTTGTCACACTGAATAGTGTCCCCCGCAGCCGGCCTTAGGAGGCGCGGCCGGGGAGGAGGCCTGGGCCTGCTGGCCGCGAGCAGCAGTGGA